TCTAAAACATATCACCAAATAACCATATTGATCGATATACTTCACTGATTCCTCTTTCGTCGTGTTTCCATGTTTAGGGCATAATTGGCAATCGATGTTTTGCCGTTCTCTCTCTCTCTAACGACGATCGCAGTTTGTGTACTTTCAACAATCTTTCATACGTAGACGGTTATGTTGTAAATAGGACCGACTCCAGTTCTGAATCCAATGGACATATACTGGCAGGNGGTGGAGTCCTGGCAACGCAGTTCTAGGTTTCTATACAACAAGCGTCTTCACGAAAAGACCACACAGTCCCGGGCCACTCACAAGTAGGACACACTTCTCACAATAGGTTCTCCGTGGAGGGGGCTTCCAGACAACCTGCAAGACAAACACGAAAAGGAGCTATGAACCAAAAGGTCAAGTGAGACATGAACACGACTCACAATCAAATCAACATGGCCGCGCCCGTGTCTTCACTACAGTTTGTGATCAACTAACATAAATGCAATCGCTTCTTTTCAGGTGTAGGCGGACTTTATCGTCGGTCAGCTTATTAAAAATTAGTGTTCTGGTTGCGGAAGGAAATAAAGCAGTAATTATTACTTATAAATTAGTTTGAGAAAATTTCGAAAATTTCAGGATGACAGTAGCTGCTATCAGAAGAAATGCTATCTTCCATTTCCATCTTCCACCTAGTGATTTTCCCACTTCACGGGGTTCACTAATTGGTATTCTCCACGTTCAAACACAAAACAGTACTCAAGCTTGTAGCTGGCGTTGTACACACAATCAGATCACTTTTCAGCGGATACAATTTTATTGGAAACAGTCAACCGTATGAAGCCTTCCATCAAATACCGTATAGGTGACATGGCGAAAACATATCTGTATATGCAAATTTCTGCGCGTATCCATGGGTAGTTCTTCTTATCAGGATGAAAATTCCTTACCTGTTTCTGAGATAATATTAATTCATATTCTCTCTCTCTCTGGAGTAGAATCAGATAAAGAATGCCGAATGAGAATTTGACTGTTTCTGCAATTTTTCAAGTTTAATAAGAGAATCACTTCTGGCGCCAACCGGTTTTTTCGAGATGAGGAAAAGTAGCCCAAGATGAAGAAGAATAACGCGGATGATGCTAGGGTTAAATAAAAACTAGTCCAGCTGGTATAAGAGGAAAAGAAACATGAGCCGCTTTCCTCAATTCACCGTTTCTCCCTTCGGATTTTAAACTATTACGCGCCAAAAAGCACCACACAGGTAGTTGTATATAATAAACCTCAAATGCAGAACTAGGTAATCAAACGGCTTCGTACATATAACAAGTGCATCATACTTTAAAACCGACGCTATCGATAAGTAATACATAAATTCAATCATTTAATGTGAATATTACCGGACTTGTTTCCTCAGATTCCTATTGTACTCGGAATGAACACGTTTAATTTGAAAGGTTGAACATTTTCACACCAATCTCTGTTTAACAATCCGGCTCGTTTTCTCTCAAAGCTGTCTTATTCTTAATTTACTTAGGGTATGGTGACCATGCTTTCATTTAAAGACTGCTCATACAAGACGGCTGTAAATATTTAGTTAATTCAATGTTTTATTATTTGAACATACCGTACTATAACCAGAGTGGTAAGGAAATCTCTGTTAGCCAAAGACGGCTCAACGTTGTAGCTTCTGAAATTTCATAAACTTCTTATTCACATCTAACTTACATTTGATCTGTGATACAGTTGAGAAGAAGAAGTCAACAATGTCGGGTTGCAAAGGACAATAAAGAACTTTAGACCACTTTGTCCCACCACAGGTTCCCTGATCAAATTTCAATAGACAAACACAACTGAACAGAAGTAATCAACCTATTATGATCTCGGTGTTTGTCCTTCACAAATGCTTGCAGCCCAATATGGTGGCTTAAATGCGCCTTCATATTTGTTGCACATTGTAGCTGTTGGATTGAATCGTTTCTGACTTTAACAAGAGTCGTGTGCATTATTGTGCACTCTTGAAAGGGATGTGAATAGAAGAGAACTATTCGCCTTCCAAGAACGAGATTGCAGTCGCTCATCGGTTTGTGCTCAACCAATCAACCATACTACTACCTGATTACAAAATTCGCCGTTTTTGAATTTTATCGTCCTCATTTAAACTCAAAAATCGTGATATATCAATCGTCATAACAACCAAACAGCTGCTTATTGGAGTAGCTTTCATTGCTTGCCCATTAGTGAAAACAATAAGGTTTTTCATCTTTGACTCGAAAGGAAGTTGGTTTGATGTTTCACTGTGAGTAGAAAACATCGAACGAAGTCCATTGACGTGAGGCCTGTGACTTCTCGTGATCGTCTGAAGTGCATTTGCAGGATCCAAGCAATGCCCACTCACAAATAAATGTATTGCAGAAAATGAAGAAACGGAATATGAATTGATTTTGATGTTATATCTAGTCTCACTTTTGTTTAATTTGGTGCATTATGTTACAATTATGCAGTACCATTTACGCACTGCCAGTACCATGAAGAAAGCGGTCACTTAACAATGGTAGGCTCACATCAAACACGTTGTGTAGACATTCGACCGAAGTTAAACGCCTGTAGCTAACGTTATAGAAATGTAGTCATTCGTCTTACAACTAACTGTATGATCAATTTTATTACCCACGATGGAGAACGGTCAAACGCGTTTATGGCACGATTGACGGTGTTAACCGCGATCTTGTCCAGTCGACATTGCGTGCACGCGTATACACCTTGAATTCTCGGTTTATGTTGGACTGACTAAGTAACTCAATAATTAACTAAACAAGTCAATTCATAACCATGCTTCAAACAAATGTGGTCACGAGAAGAAATACTCGGCGCTGAACAGAAACAGTAAACAGAAAATTAAGTACAGACCCTCGACATGAACTGTGCATTGCTTACGGGTGTACAAGATACATTGACCTCATTGTGACGCACGTCATTTCACATACTCCTGTGGTGTTGCTGCAATCCTCACATCGGTCTTTTCACCCCTCACTAGAATCAGATGAGCAAGATGACCAGAAGCGTGAGATGATGTCATGCACTAAGCATGACCCAGATTTTAGTTTACTCTCATCCAAAGTGGACATCAGACTTTATTGCATTTCTTAGAATTAACTAAATTTCAGACTGCGAAAGGTCAGGGTGGGGAAGGAGAGGCAGAAACTTTGGGCTGTTAAACATTAAATTACCACACAATGATAAGGTGTGTCATCTGGCAAAATTGTCCGGAAACAAGTGTGTTGGTAAATCAGTCGGTTGGAGTGTTCAAAGCACCATTTATTCATCAATGACCATGACATTCTAACTGTCTAAATAAATGTGGGCATAATATTTTTTTAGTGAGGTAGGTTAACTGAACCCGAAGTCCAATGAATACCCGTTCAGTGTATTTTAGTAGTTGTTACCTTACAAGTTAAAGTGCAATCGTAGTGAAATGTGACTAAACATTTCTTTGGTTGGTGCGCCATTCTGCAGATTGATCAAGCAATGTTTATTCATCGACAACAGTACCCATCAAAGCTAAATGATCACAAAATGTTTTCTAGGCGTAAATTAAAACACTTTATACTGTATATAATTTTACTATTGTTATCTTGTCGAGAGCCAGGTTGCCTCACAAATCAAGCGTTGCCTGACAAAAGGGTTTAGTTGTGTAGCTCTAAATCAAATCACCTCTTTTGGTTATGGCCCACAAGTGAATCACGGATGAATTTCATAGATAAAAAACGTATTGCCCCGTAATTTGTTTGACAGAATGTCCGTCTTCGAAAAGTTTAAACTGTCGTGCAAAGCAAATTGTCTGTTATCGCGTTGGACCACCAGAGAATAATTTAATTCAAAATGGCAAATTCCCAATTTAGAGTTGTTTGTCATTTTGCACAAGACCCGTGCCTTTTCAAAATTGGTTCTTTATGACAGTGCATTCCACTGCTTTATGCTTCCAAAATTAAAGTCACATTGAGCCACATCTGCCCGTATTTTGTTCAGATGATTTGGAAATATGGAGATCACAAATCCAATATATTTGACGCTGTCAATGGAAGGTTACGTTAAAGTTGTGTTTTGTGCAAGAGTATGCAGGATAAATGCGTTGCGCAACGGAAAACAATTTAGTTCAGTATGTGCAACTCACTTTGTATAACATTAACCTATTATTTTACATAATTTAGAAAGTTGAGTACTGTTTTGTGAATAAAAAAGATTGAACAAATTGGTGCTGCATACGAGTTACCTCGCACATTTGTAGGATGTCTGCACAAAACCCGTTGTATTTCTTTTGTTCTAGGGCACATGAGGCTGTTTGTTTGGATGAAGAGACCAACTATTGACGAAGATTATTCAGTCGCTTGTGTCAATTAGCGAACTGAGACTTAAAGTAGCAAAGTGAATGAAACCACATTATGAAGCGTCCCCCTTGGAGAAACCCCGACTAGGGTGGGCACAGAAGAATCTCTTACATTGAGTGCCGCTGATGATAAGTGGAATCATGCTCGATATATCTTTTAAGGTTATTTCAAAAGAGGGATATCGACACTTTTGTGTTGAATATCCCATAATTGCGATGATTTACAGTTAAGATGATTGTGTATTACAAACAAATTGAAATCGCAAGTAGAATCCAAAGATAGTCGCCTTTATATATTGCACCGTTTTCTGGACATTTGACCGCAAGATTAATTTTTACTTTGCTAGAGACACCGAAGCAAGTGCTGAACGCACGAGCTTATCATCGGCGTGAATCTCAGAAGAACATATAAACAATCTTAGGCACTAGTTCAGTGGATTGCTGTAGAATGTTCTGAGTGTTGCTGAAGAGCTAGTTGGTTGGAAAACTCTGCTGATGCGGTTCATACAAGAGTTATTGTTAGTCAGCATTTTAAGCAATGATTTGTTTCTTTCATTCATTGCAAACGCTAATTCACCAAACAATTTTTCGTCCAATATACATATAGGTGTGCACAAACGATGATCAGAAAATGCGTGATGATCGTGCTCGGTGGCGACGCGGTCCAAATGACTCATCTTCTGCCTACACACGCCACCGTCGTGATGAGGAAACTGACGGTGGAACTCGTCGACGATTTACTCGCGAGGAGCGCCGTTCGCGCCGCGTGCGACGTCTTATACGAAAACTCAGTCTGACTGCAAACGGTTATCATTGTGAATGGAGTCGATACGAATATATGGTCAGCGATCACTGTGTATGTGGAACAGGATAATTTCCTTGCGACCAACAAGAAGAATTCATCCAGTTGTTCCATCATTGTTTCAGAAAGAGGAACTATCATCAGTTTTCCAAGAAAAACCTCGCAATGCATTTGTATTACAAAAGTATTGTTTCAACGCAGAATGTTTCACAAACAACTTCATTTGGTTATTGTTCTACCTAAACTGTATCCCTTATCTTCTTCATTGGAATGAGCATTCTCCTTGTGAACTGTATTATTCCATTAACCATTTGTTCACATTTTGTTCCCCCTAATTTTCCCCCAAATCCGCTTTTCTCATTTGCTTCTACATACAACCAGGTCAGTGGCTATCCGGAGCAACATTGGATCTTGCCCATTCTGTCACACATTGAGTGCGATAAAATCAGTTTGTCGATACAATCTTATACCCGCAACATGTTACTGATGAAATGTTTCTGGCAAGAAATCTCACTGTATCACTTAATGCACTGTTCTCTGCTTCAAACCGATAAAGTATTTACAATATCTTACGAACGACACAGTTTTCAAGCATTTAAGTGTATCAGGATTCCCTGAAGAAATCAATCGATGATGAACTAAACACTACTACTAAATATTTGGAAAGTATCATACCGTTTTGGTTTACACTGAAAATATTTTTTCTGCTTCACCTGGTCAAGTGTAATCTGTCTGCTTTGCAGTTTTTGCATGTAGTGATATGCAAAGCACAAAGATATTTGCGTGTTTTCTAGTGCGCTTACTTACATCCGATTAGGTGTCATAAAACAAAGGAAATGTTTTGCATATTGATCAAATAATCAATTAATTTCACTAAGCTGACCGCTTGTTGCTGGAAGACGAGCTTGCAGAACAAAAGCCGAGATAGAACAGAACAATGCAGGTTTTTCGAACTTATCAGAAAGAGGACTGACTATAATAACCACCTAAATGGATTCTGTATGAATCTTGTTTTAAACGGACTAAGCAGGTAGGTGTTTCGATTGCGGTCGGAGTATGGATATAAATACCGCTTTATAGACATTAAAATCTACTTTTGAGTGTCGAAGTAGATTAGAAATGTTTAGTATCGAAAGTGAACATATTGAGGGTATTTTTGAAACACTCGATGATATCACGAAATTCAACCTAATGTCCATGTTGTACGCGTAAAAACATTTTCGTTTAAAAATCCATTTAATCTCTAGTTGTTATATTTAGGGGTATGGATGTATGTCTAAGAATACACTTGTTCGGTATTTTCGACAAAAACACAAGCCATTTCTTGTTTGAAAAGAGTGCTAAACAGCAGGCTATGCAAAACTAATTTCGGAAGAAGATAAATCTGTCATCTTGAACAATTTCCGAAAGATACATGAATTCAATAAAAATCAACCAAAATTATACTACATTGTTACTAAGAAGTCAAATGAATTCCCTAACTGTCCGAAGGCGTTTGTAGTGAAAGCTAATATATATATATATTTATATACATGTAGAAACTCCCTTAGATAAATAATACACACTCAACAAAATTGAAAATGAAAATGAAAACTAAAAACCGAGTCAGGGATTACTAACTTGCATTTGATCAACATGTTTATATATAGCTATGTTGTATTATTTTAACAACGAAACTGAGATACTAAATTATATTATCTCTATTTATATTAGTTGATATCCAACTTAAACTGAAGCAAGTTGGTGTGCATCAAAAATCATTGATATAACACTTTTTTTGTTCGAAATAGCAACATATAGCATAGGAATGTTTCAGTGTAATTTGAACTAATCATTTATTCTGCGGTTACACAATTAAGTTTACTAATTTTCTGCAATCTGATTCGTCTAAGAGAAATACACAAATATCGTCATACAATGATTTTGTTATCATTTTAGTTTTGAAGTCTCAAGTTAATACTGTTTTTCTCCAGCACGCGAACCTAAAAAGAAACAATGATGACGCCCATTTCCTTCATGCGGTAGTTAGTGTCATGTACTTTCTCGGAATTTGAAAGTTACTTTCCACATTCACAAAAATACTTCATGCACTTAGTAAATGGTAAATTGCTAATTGTTTTGATAACCAGAAAAAAGTGTAAACTTCAAAGTCGGTATTCTGTAATAATGTAAACTTTTGGAAACGACCTTCACGTTTTTCGTTGATATTGTGTATCTGATTTAGTGTCATATATCATTTACTCAACAACTGACGTCAACGACTTCACATGTTTAAAGTGAAGAGAATAAATGTAAATGCTTCACGTTCATGGAAAAAGAAGGATAGGAGCTATTTTGGTGTTAGCTGTTCCGCGTCCGATTGAAAACGTGACAGTCCCGGGGACAACAAATCAATCAGCAAGACGTATCCACTCAGGGTCCAAACTGATGGAATCGCAGCACATCTCAAGTCATACAAACTACGACTACAGCATACGGTTACCTGCTAAGTCAATCTGCTTAGACACTTTGGTTTTGTAATGGGAAGCTTTAGCTTTATCGGGAAATCTAACAACCACACAGTCGGGTTTGACAAATTGGTTTGCGTCTTCAGTGGCTCGTGTTCTTGGAACTAATGGGTCCAGTCCGCATGTGTTGTTTATTTCTTTCACTCCTTTAAACAAACATGATCCGAATATGTGCAGACAGCTGATGAACGTTTCACAAATTCAGTGAAATTGAACACATCCTATGTTTCGTCCGGCTGTAGTGAATCTGTTAAAGGAATCAAATTGCACGAAAATTCGTTACCGATACAGGTCACCGAAATTTGGTGCCCGTATAGTACTTAGTTACAATACTCTGAGTAGGTGTTTCGTTGTCTTTCATTGCGATCAATCCATCATTTCAACTCTAAATAGTTTTCAACATATTTCTACATGTATGCGCTTGGACTGCAGTTCATCATTGTTTGTCATCGTATTCTTCTCAATACGTTCTGAGGACAAGGAACGTTTTAGCAGTTTTTAAGCCAGCTAGAACCACTTTAATAAAGTTTCTTAATTATTTAGTTAGGAAACAATTGTTCGTGATAAGAGCTGCAAGATTAAGGGCATTCCACGTTCATTCAAAATAGTTGCAACATTTAGCTGCGTTACGTACACGTGTTCAGGCATCAAAAGAAGAATCTAGTAAATTCAAGGTTCCTAGTTAGGATGAGGCTCATTTTCAGAAAATTCGTCCTCTTGATTACACTTCTCTACCCCTGCATTCAGACGACATTAAGGTCGAACGCATAATCCATGTAAACCCTCATCAACGTCATGAAGTTTGAATAGCACTGAAAAATGCATATAGGGACTTTGAATAAGAAGTTAGTATTGCGTTCTATTCAATGATATGCATCAGTGGTTCTTTCTCTCAAATGCATGACTACTTATACGAATTAGTTACGTTACTTTGGCTTAGCAAAATCGATGAGTTTATTTAACAATCCGCATAAAAAGTAATGAGCTACCTCGGAACGAATTGATATAAACCACGCTACTCAAAATTCTGCCACTTTCAAGCTAGTCACATTGGAAGTACAAAAGAAAGAAAACCGTTCGAAGACTGTGGATTTATCTTGAGTAATGCTCCTTCCGGCTGACTTCTTCATTTTTTTCCTCTAAGTTTTCTTTATTTCTGCAAATACCTGTTTTTACCAGAGGTTTTCGGACTTAGATGTGCGGCCCACAAAAGGTTTCCTTGTAATACAAATAAGGAAGCATACAACCTCAGGTGTAACCAATTGGAAGTCACTACCTGTCCGTGAATGCTAATACAACCTGGTCGTCGTTCAATTAGTATGGTCACTAAATGGGATCTAGACTTGCTGGTATTCATCCCAAATCCATAACAGCAGTACTCCTGTCCGTCAGGTCAAACATTTCCTCCAAACGAAATTGAAACTGTGAGTTTGACAAACCCTTTGTAGAATAAGTTCAGTTGTTTCACAATCAGAACAGTTGATTACTAAGCATGCTAATAGGATGGATTAGCAAAACGAATGAGAAGTATTCTTTTCAGTGTTTTTTCCCGGTGATTGAGGAACAATATTACTGTGAATCGGTGCTCCTTGATCAAATACTCTATTAGATGAGCTGAAACATTGTTTGGAGTTTACTGGAGATAATTGTTGGTTAGACGTAACCATCACCAGAATGAGGTCACATCTTTTTCACCAAATAGGTGTGGCCAGTGAAAAATATTCTTTAATGTTGTTTTCTTTATCTACCGGGGAATTTATTCATTATTCTGCTTCTACTCAAATCGCGGTTAACGGTGAACATTTCCTAACAATATATGGGAATTCGTTAGCTTAATCGTTCAAACAAAACTGTTGTGAATCCTTTTTTTCTAATACACAAATGCATTAAAGAGTGCATGGACTATTTCGTACATATTCTCCTAACAATGCGCTTGTCAATAAAGCATTCTTTTGTTGCTCTAGCATAATCACGTGAAATGTCATAGCCTCAATAAAAGGAACTCTACTGCTGAATGCCAGTATGCCACGGTTTCTTGCGTCCTTGTTGTTAGATTCGTTGTGTTCTGTTTCCCCCCGCCCCATCATTCAAGGTGTGATTTGAGGGCTTCTTTTACTGACCAAAAACTATTTGGCCCCATGTTTGATCTATGTCTGATAGAATGAACATTCCCACAAACAACTGACCAGACGCAGAAGGGCCAGTCGTGATTTATATTTCAACGTGGTTGGAGTTATTGAAAATGAATATGGAACAAATCAATGTTTGTATGCGAACAATAATACCATTTCCCCCAAACTTTTCGCTAAAGCATTGTTCATCATGTGATGTCGGCCCAATAGACTGATTCTGGTGTTTACGACGTCAAAAAGAAAGGTGAATGATGCGTGTTTCAAGTTCAGTAGCAATACACTGGTTCATACGTAGCCCATAGCCGAATCAGCCAGGAAAATTGCACGGTTATTTTGTTAAAACGGAGTATATTGGCTAAAAATGTGAAACAATTATCTGATACAAGTGACCTGCACTTTGAACATGGCCAACACGGGATATAATTTGTACGAT